CATGTCCTTCCCCAGTTCCCGCATTTTCATTTTTCTCTGGGGTCGTAGTCCGGCTGAAAAAATGTTTTGTGCGAGTTCCTTAAGGCTATTTTTCCTTCTAGTAGGAGCGCTGCCTGGGCGTCGTTCTTCAAGAATACTTTAAGGGGTCTTGGGGATAAGCTTAAATCACGACTTGGTTCTGCTTTGCCAAGCCCGAAAGTTTTCCGTACTGCAACAATTCATAAAAAGGAATCTCAAGAAGCAGAGAAGACGGTGGAAAACATACGCTAGATATCAACAACCCGACAATTTCTCTGAATTTAAAAAACAGCCAAACATATGTCGAAAACTACTACGAAAAGAACGATCGGCCTTTGAGACAGAACTAGTCAAGGGAATAGCTAACAACCCCAAAAGTTTCTTTTCTTACGTGAATAAAGCAAAACGTTACCGAGATCAATTTCCTTGTGTGAAAGATAACCAGGGAAACAAGTCTACCGATGACTCAGGTAAGACGAACCTCTTGTCTACTTTCTTTATGTCTGTGAATACCGTGGAGCTGTCACTTAACGAGGATGTGCAGCGATATATTGTCCCAGCAGCGGATACAATTAGCACGGTATCGTTCGCACCATACGCAGTAAGAAAAGCCGTAAGACAATTATGCCCACTAAATCACCTGGTCCGGATAGCTTACCAGCAAGACTTCCGAATGAGCTCGCAGAATAACTGGCCTCCCTACTTTCCAAGAGCTTCGAAAGTTCGGTGAAAAAGTGGGCTCTGCCTACCGACTGGAAGCTAGCCAACATAACTCCTATTTATAGAGGAGAGAAAACGTCGCCTAATAGCTTTAAACCAATTAGTCTCACAAGCATTTGTTGCAAACTAATGGAGAAAGTAATCAAAAAGCAACTATTTAGACACATTGAGGAGAACAACTTGCTAAGCGCAGCACAACAAGTATTCTGAAGTGGCCGATCTTGCCTCACTGACCTGCTAACATCCACGGAAAGCTGGAAGAATTCTTTGGAAATGGGTTCGTCGGTCGACGCGATCTACATTGATTTCAGCAAGACATTCGACAAGATTCCACATAGATGACTACTATCAAAGCTGCATCAAATGGGTATGACTGGAAATCTACTCAAATGGTTAACCGACTTTCTAAAAGGTAGGTGCAACGTGTTTGTATCGGAGACACCAAAACAGTGGGGTTCCACAGGGAAGC